CGATGGAGCTGCGCCGGAGTCAATTTTTTAAGATCACGTCGCACCAACAGGAAAAGGACTGAGCACAGCATCTGTATTTTCAAAATAAGACACTTTTAGGCTGGATAATTTGTCAGAATAATGTTGAAATTGCAGCTATATTAATAAATATATGGATATATTTCTACACAAATGCTGTCAGAATGTATGGTTCTGTTTGGGAAGCAGATGGAAACATGTAGCATGAAGCATATGTGTACACACAYGAYACACGTGGATTTTATTTTGAAATCAGAAGTTTCAAAAAGACGACAGTGAGACAGTTTCAACATAGAGACCAGAAGTTTTTATATCGTTGTTTTCAGCTGTTTGGAGTTCATCTTTCACAGAATTAATTATTTTTTGCTCTGACTTCCACATTTATCACTGAATTTATCACTGAATTTATCATGTGATCTGCTTCCTGCACGTCTGTCGGAGCGGAGCGCAGGTAGTGTAAACTGGACTTGAAACGCACAGCTGCGACCTGCGCAGTGCAGCGCAGCGGAGTCGTAACACAAGTAAAGTAAATTAGGGGTAAATGTGACCCTCAGTGAAAATGTTTGACACCCCTGGTATAGATCCTTCCAGCTGGGTTTGGGACGTTTGTTATTCATATTTTCTAAAATGGTGTTTTTTTTTTTTTTGAGGACATATTTGGTGCGAGACAGGGACAAGTCTCTGAGCCGGTCATGGAAAGGTGGAGTGCACCATGACTCAGAGGTGGCAGCCTGCGGTGCCAACACCCCCACAGCATTCCCTTTCTATTCCCATGTCCTGGTCCAACCTCAGCCCCCAATCTGGAGGGACGGTCCATGACTCAGAACCGTGGACTGGGGGGTAGTCTCAGATTAAAACTAACCACATCTGCAGCTGTCGGCTCGGGGCTCACACAGGAGCTTTACTCACACTGCAGAGTTAGTCAGTGTGTGTGTGTGTGTGTGTGTGTGTGTGTGGTGGGAGGTTTAACACAGTTTGTCAAACAAGTGAGTTTTTAATTTGTCGTTGGGATAACATAGAGGTTTTCAGTTTGGACAGTGTGTCATTGTGTCATCTTTGTAAAAGAAATAACACATGAATATAAGTGTGTTTGTGTTGTGTCTCTGCAGGCAGTTTTCTCCTCAGTTTTCCACTTTGCTTCAGTCCCACTCTACCAGGGATTTCTGATCATCGGGTGAGAAACAAACTGATGACTTATCAACAGAGTATTTGGCTGCCTTTTCTCTGGCATTTCCTCTCTTAAAGCTCTGCTGAAACACAAGAAGAGGAAAATGTGAAATGATGCTGACTGTGGTTCATGTGTCGTTTCATTTGATTTGTTTTGACTCATGTCTGCTGCAGCTACTCTACCATCTACACCATGTTCCCAGTCTTCTCTCTGGTGTTGGACAAAGATGTGAAATCAGAAGTTGCCATGTTGTACCCAGAGTTGTACAAAGATCTGTTGAAGGTATTGGATAAGTGTTTTGGTGCAGACACACAAACATTGGGCCTCATGCAACAACTGTTCATACAAACAGATTTGTTCTTAAGTTGTGCGTACGATGGATTTAGGAGAATTTGTGACATTCACCAATGTTTTCGTATTCTAAGATTTTCTTCAGATACGAACAAAATTCAGGAGTGGTCCAGACCTGTCGTATATTTTACCAGCAGTCAGTCTGATGTTATCCAGACGGGTTTTCTTCATTAATAACTTTATATTTCATTAGTTTGAAGATATTTCAAGTTGAAAACAAATCACACTCCATAATTATGTTGACAATATGCTGTTCTGCTTGAATTAGCCATAATTTTAAATGTAATAATTTAGAC